TAGCATTCTTGAAATTATACTTACGCTTTTGACGGGTGCTGCTAGGATTTTTAAAATTTCCAGGACCAGCTTGATCATCTTTATTAAATGCAGGAGTTGTATGCTCATTAACTTCACACAAATCTTGTTCATCGTCAACAAATGAATTGTCCTTGTTAGCGACTCCACAATGTTGTATTTCTGCCAAGCAAGAGAAACCCTTAAAACGATTAAAAGCAAGCAGCTGAGCCTTAGCAGTCACAAGCTCCAAGCGATCAAAGCCACCAGTAGGCAACTCAGAAAGTGTTTTCACATATTCTATAAGTTTTGTAGGTGAAAATGAGTTAGCATTAAGAGATTCATCTATCACATGTTTGAAGCTTATTTCTCGTCGAATCCCAGTGTTCTCTACGGCCTGGCTTTTAATCATTTCATAGGTGTCTTTAGGTGTGCAAGAACATGCTAGCTCCATGATCAATATCATTACGAGCACCTAAAGAGCGCTCAATCATTTGATTATCAGTATCAGCCCTGCTGTTGGCAGAAGATCGTTTAACCTTGATTTTGATTAGCCCTTTTCTTTCATGGCTATTGGATACAGTATCTGCTTCCTTGTAAATCTCAATGGGAGCTTCAATTGGTACTTCAGGGGGGAACCCTGTTAAGTCATCTTTGGGAGCCTCTTGGGGCACTTCCTTTAAGGCTTTAATGTGCACTTCTTTGTGTTGGGAAATAATATCTGTTGAAATGACTCATGGAAGTATGTCACACAAGATAAAGATTTTGCATTTTCAAACTATGAACCATATGCCGTTTGTACGACTTGGAGTGCTGTGACATTTTGAAGGAACATTTGTGGGGCAGCTTGGAGGTAGAAACTTCATGGGCTACTTTGGAGTGAGACTTGATGCATGGACCTGGATTTTATCAATCTTATAACTTGTACTTGGTGATGAATTTATTTTGAAATGGGCTTGTATATTTATGTAGAAACTTGTTGTGATATTTTGGCTATGGACTTCATCTTCACAAGGAAAAGTTTTTTTTGTGTAGACTTTTTTTGTGTAATGTATGCTAAATGTATGGAATTTTGAAGTTATAAATGGGCCTTGGTTGGCTATTCATGCCCTTGAATTTAGACTCCAAAAAAAGTCTCATGAACCAAATTCCACCATTTTGGATTCTCACTTAGGAAAGAGGTCTTAAAATCAATCACGAATCAATTTTGTGCCTTTGATTGAATTAAAACTTATTCTGCTGATGAATCAAATGAACTTTATCACTTGAATCCAATGAGCATGAATATGCCTTAATTGAAAAGAACAAAACTCCATGTAATTCTCCACCATAAAACATTTGAATTTTCTGACTATGAGGAATGGAAGGATGTATAAATGAGAAATGCATACAAGTAGGGCAAATTTGGGGTATGCTTATGCAATGTGATATGCTAATGCAATGAAATGAAACATAAACCAAATGGAGAAAAGGTAGGGCAAATTTTGGGGTACAACACTCCAGTCCACCCTTCCTAGAGTGATTTGTCTATCTCAACAAGGACTTAATCCACTATTTAATCAAATAGATTACAATAGTAACACCTAAGAACAACTGTTCTTAGTCTTCTCAAGAGCTACTGATTCCAACTGAATCCTCTTAAGGAAATCCTTTACAATCAATGTAAATCTAATACAAGAGTAAGAATGCTTCTAAAAAGCTTTTATCACAACAGTGATATTTCTCTTAAGTTTAAGTACAATGAAATTAATTTTAAGAATGAATATGAAAGTATGAGAGCTTGAATGTTTTAATTTCTTTTCAGCAAAATATCTAACTGAAGAAAATGGTGGAGTCTTCCTTTTATAGGCAGCTGATCCAAGGAGAGCTGCACGTTGAGAAGAGTGTCCCAAAAAGGTCTGAGTCTTTTTGTCCTCACATCAAGTGACATTTCCTAGAAGAAGAAAGCACAGAAAAATCCTTTTTGTCTGTGTTCTTGTGTTTAGCATAAATGAGGAAAGAGACGTTTGATTTACTCCAACGAATATAATCTTTGAATATTTCTTCTTCAGTTTTCAGCAAGTTCATCAGAGTCTGATTGGGTCAGAGTCTTCTAATGATGATCAGAACTTTGCTGTATCAGAGTCTTTTGCAGCATGTGTGCTTTCAGCGTGTTAAATATCAGAGCATATTTGAAACAGAACTTCAGTACTGGCATCTTTAGTACTTTCAGAATCTTCTGTAGAAACTATGCTTTGAAAAACTCTTCATACGGTATTCTTCTTGCTTCAGATGCTTCTGACTTGCTTCAGATTCTTCTGACTTGCTTCAGATGCTTCTGGAGCTTCTGCTTCAGAATCTTCTGGAGCTTCTTGCCTCAGATCCTTCTGGAGGCTACGCTCAGGATCTTCTGTTAGCAGTAATCAGAATCTTCTAATGTATGCATCTAGCGCTACAGATTCTAGCTAGTTTCTTGTATTCATTTCTGATTTGCTTATGGAGTGTTAATATCTTTACTATCTGCAGTAAAAAATTCTCAAGCAAATTTTAGAGTATATAATTCTTAAATACAAAATTTCCTAATAATTATCATCAAAACATAAATATATTATTAAGAACCAATTTGTGTTCTAATAGAAGAGAACTCTATTTCTCGTGTGGCTTCTAGTTCCAAGTACTCAATAAAAGAGCATGACAAAAGCCCTGAGATAATGCCTTGAGAAAACGTACACTATGTCATATATGGAATAAGGGATCGACATTTATTTTTTCCAAACAGCAATTTTTTTGTTCTCAAAGAAGGGCTCAGGAATGAAATCCCTTGATCCTTCACTCTCACTAGGAGGAATGACAAAAGTAAGAGGTTGTTCCCAATAGCGAACTTAGAAGACCCTTGGCTAGTAGACATAGTGAGAGAAAGGAATTTTTCTGTAAAAATGGTGAAAAGGGGTTGGGAAGTTTTGTGCGAAAAAGAGAAAGCAAGAAGACGAAGTGAATGAAAGGAAGAAAGGAGCTGAAAGAGAGTATTTATAGGTTTTAGTGCATGTGTTAGATCGAACACCTGACGGCCACGTGGGAGTGATTGAAAGGTTTTCGTTTATTTTCAAAGCACTACATTAATGAAGAGTGAGAGCAGGTATGGAAACGTGAAAACCCACGTCTTCCTAGGAACTAAGAGTGATGATGAGATTCTGGGGAATCTCATGGAAAATAACAATGCGCTGTAAAAGAGAAATGATGACGATGACATCAGTGGAAGTGAAACGACATCGAAAAATTGAGATAAAAAAGGCCACGTCCCTCTTGTTGATGCAAATTGAAACATCACCTTTTGGAGAGCAATTTGCTACACTGGATTTTTCAACTTGGCTATAAATGGAAAACGCTCATGAGAATAGCCATAAATACACCACGTGGAAGGTCAAAATATAGTGAGTCCACATGATCAATATAGCTCAAGGTCGGAGATCACATAAGGTGATACTTGTCGAAGGTGGCAAGGTCAAAAGATGTAGCGAGGAACTTAGGGACTTAGTGAAATTGAATACTATGCTATGTTGGCTAAGCTTGGATTTCATCACTACAATGGAAGTAATGTCGGCTCAGTTACCACATGTGAATTCCATTACTATAATGGAAACAATGTTAACTTGGATGCTACATGTGGAGTTCATCACTACAATGGACAATATGATGGAGCATGCTATCGTAACATGGTCGGCGTCGAAGGCCTCGACGAGGATAGTCAGTTCTTGGCGCGTAGAAGAGAAGTTGGGAAATTCAAATGATATCACAAGGCGGAAACTTCATCAGTAATGAAGGTTATTTAGAGGAACGTGGGAGAGCGTCGTGGGAAACTGCTACATGGATCTGGGACGTGTCACCATGGGAGTAGTCTACCATTCTTAGACATTTATCATAAAGTAGTATATAAGGACACTTAGGTTCATTTTATAAAGGGTTCACAATTGTACACACATTTAAACTCAAAGTACATGCGCCTTGAGAAACGAGTGAAGGAAAGATGTACGTATGCGTTCCACCATTTTATACATTTTCAACATTTTTACCTTAAGTCTTTTTATGCATTAAAGTCGTTTCGATTTCCTTTACTTTTCCAGCCAATTTACATTATTTGCACTTTAATTTCAACCCTTTTCTTTTCTGACATTTTATCTTTCGACTTCAGTCTTTTCTTCACTATACTTGCTCTTCTGATTCCAACCCTTTTGTTCTTTGAACATTCTTTTTTTTATTGTACAAGTAATCACAACAAACATTTTAAACATTTTTGACAACATTATAATTTTCATTAGTAATGAACACACAAAAGTCTCAAAAACCTGAAAATGAAAACAAAAATCTACCTTTTAAACTACATCGGATCAAAAGATAACCACCACTCTTTTCTCCATATAACGACTAAAGCTCCATCACAAAAAAGATTACTCCAGTGAGAGTGAACAAGAGAATTTGAAACCTCATCGAGTTTAGTTTGCTGAATTTCTATAAAATCTAATGATTTAGATAAAATGAGTTCCGCTCAAACTTCTTCCTCCAATCTCTTTTTTTTAAAGCAATTAAGTTCCTCATTTCCATTACATTCCTTGAGTCAACCAATGTGAAGGAAAAGGAGTAGTAGCACCTTCCAAACATATAAAGAAAATCAAATGACTAATTATTATAATTTTCAATTAATATTTTAATAACTGGATTGGCGTATACTTTTGAAAGTTCGTAGTTGACTTCAATTAATATTTTAATAACTGGATTGGCAACCTTGCCCCAAGATCATTTGTTGCATTGAACTACCAGCCTCCATTATTTAACATATTTTCTTTCACGTCAGCTCTTACGTATGCTTATATACGAATATAAACCATCAAGCCTCTAGCTATATATATATATATATATAGCTATTATATTAGCTTCTATTTACATTCGAGTTTCTACCATAGTTAAGGTAAGAGCTACTATATACCATTACTACTAAACACATCTTCTGATTCTGCTAAATCTTTATCATGGCAACAATAAAAGTGCACGGAAACCCCTTCTCAACAGCCACCATGCGGGTTACTGCAACTCTGTATGAAAAACAGCTTGAGTTTGAGTTTATTTACATTAACCTAAAGAATGGTGAACACAAAAAGGAACCTTTCATATCACTCAATGTAAGCAATACACAAAACATCATTTTCCTAGCTTCTTCACTTTAACTATGAACTTCCATATGATATCTAACTAAATCTTTATATGATGCAGCCGTTCGGTCAAGTCCCAGCTTTTGAACATGGAGATTTGAAGCTCTTTGGTAAGATTTAATATAATAGATGTCTGGTATTTGACACTGACACAATCCGTGAAGGTGTTTCGTACAATCTGATAGTTATGCATATTTAAAATGCAGAATCAAGGGCAATAACGCAATATATTGATCACGAGTATGCTGAAAAGGGGACAAAGTTAACAAGCAGTGACTCGAAGAAGAAGGCAATAATCGGAGTATGGTCGGAAGTGGAGAGCCAACACTACGATCAAGTAGCATCAAAACTTGTAACAGAATTGGGGATAAAGCCTTTATTTGGAAATCCTACGGATCAAAAAGTTGTGGAAGAGAATGAAGGGAAGTTGGATAGTATTCTTGATGTGTATGAGAAAAGATTGTCCGAGTCAAAATACTTGGGAGGTGAGTGCTTCACATTGGTGGATCTACATCACTTACCTTCTCTTCATTACTTGATGAAGTCACAGAGCAAGAAACTGTTTGAGTCGCGGTTTCATGTTAGTGCTTGGGTGGCTGATATTACTGCAAGATCAGCTTGGTCTAAAGTCCTTGCCATGCTACCTAATTAAGACATTTCTGGATATTTCCTGTGCGTTTATTGTTTTGTTTGTTTGCTATCGTCAATTTTCAAGTGTGCTGTAAGAGGAATGAACGAAATAAAAAATTTCAAAATTTGCGCCTACGGGGAATCGAACCCCGGTCAGTACCGTGGGAGGGTACTATGATACCACTACACCAGAAGCGCTCTTGATGCCAGACCAGTCGCTTATTTAAATATTCAAAAATTATATTATTCATGTGTAGCTTGAGAATTAAAATAAAGTTGTTTGTTGGAAATAACATAAAAGAAGTATCTGTGCCCTTTTTCTCGCCAGCAAAATTTCAACAGGAATGAAATTAAGAATACAATATGAAACATAACTGTTAATAAATTTGCTTTGTGTTCACATATAAAAAAAAAAAATTGCTTGGGTTTATTTACTTTTTTTAATCTTAAATATATTATAAAATAAATCAAAAATATTCTTTATGTATTTATTTCTTTTTATAGGTGTTCATATCCAAATTAATGTAAATTAAAATCATACATTAATTAAAAAAATAAAAAATCTAAATATTATTGAATTTGTTCATATGTTAAATGGGGTGACCAAAGAAGTCGTCCGCTCCGCTATAAGTTGGACAAAAAGGATCAGGAAAAGAAAGTCCGCCAAATGAAAATGGATTTAAAAATCTAACTGTCCCGCCAAAGTGATAGGTTGGCGGACGGCGAATTTATCCGTCTATTTTTTTTTTAATTTTTTAATAAATTAATAAAAAAAATTTACATTTAAAATAGAATTTTCACTTATTTTTATAGATAATTTGGTGACTTAGATACAATCAGAATGGATCTTTTAAAGTGACAGAGTTAATAATTACAAACATATAACTAAACATGGTTTTTAGATTTGTTGTTTCTTGCTGGACCAAAACCCTGTGCTTTGGTACCGACTTGAAATACCAAAAAAATTTATATTTTTCATTGATTAATGTATCATTTCATACACTAAATGAACATATTCAAAAACATCCCTAAAACTCTTTGTTTGAAAAGGATTTCATTCGTGAAATATGTTCTTACTTTATAAAGTAACATACCTAACAATATATGGAAAGTAGAAAAAAATTATGAACAAATCAATTACAACAACACATATTATCTTAATGCATATGCAAGTTTTTTCCTTCTCAAATCATGGTAGTTTATGTATCATTGATTTTTTTCCTATATTATTTGTGATCAGTCACCAATACATTGCATTAATGCTATAGGAATTTTAGATGAGTAACAAGTTGAAACTAGGGTTGATAAAATAGACAGTGGCCCATAGGCCGGCCCGACGGGTCCACGAGGCGGATTACGGCGGGTAAGCAGGTGTGCGGGGTGGATCCTAAATCCCAACCCAACCAGCCATTTTTTGGCAGATGCGCGGGCCAACCGACGGATCACGACCGATTTTGCCACCCTTATGTTAAGCATCCTGCTTTAGGTGGTATTTAACTTCCCAACATGGTGCAGTGACTTTATTATCATATGTTTAGTTGTTAGATTAATTATTTAATAACTTAATAATGTATTGGCATAATTAGTTATTGTATGGTCAATGTTATTACACACTAATTATTAATGAAATATTTGATTAGATTTTGTGCTTGAATGAACCGTGATGAGTTGTATCATTTAGTTAAGCTCTATGAGAAGTCTATACCTTGAACCATTTAGTTATTTAAGCATTATCCCATTAGACAATTAAGATACTCTAAAAACCCTAAATGACAAGGAAGACAATAGTCCTCTCATAGTCACTCTTCTGACGATAGTTTTTCAAATTCAACAAGGTGTCGCGGCGCAAAAGATACCCGAGTGAATCGCACGCTCAAGGATACAACAGAGTCACCCCCGAACTTTACTTATTCCAAAAGGAAAGGGAAAAGAAAATTGCAGCAGCCCTTGTAAATTCAATATATCCAACAACAACTCATTCAGTAACATCATAGTGAAACAAAATGGGATCGAGGAACAACGTGATTCCTTGGCCTACACCGTGCTTTCCTCATAACGTGGCTAAAATCACCATTATTTCTTGTGACGAAAACGATAGTAGGATGAGCAGAACGTTAGTGCTTCCAATGTTAATATATGAAGTCTTAACATGTACCATGTAACTAAATATGCTATAGGGTTAATATCTATTTTCTCCCTTCCATATAAGCACTTTTTGAAACTCGGAAGGAGAAAGAGGACTAGGGATCCAAGGAAGAAAATAGTGAAGGGTATTTTTGTCATGTTACATTTCATTTAACACATGTGAAAAATAATTAAAATTAAAAAAAATAAAAAAAAAACGCTGTCACATCATCCTTTTTTATGAGTTTGCCTGACAAATATTTAAAGAGAGATATTTTTCAAATGTTAGTGCCTTTATGGAGGGGAAAATAGGTATTAATCATATAGCATATTTAGTTACATGGTACATGTTAAGACTTCAAACATTAACAATGGAAGCACTAACTTTCTGCTCATCCTACTATTGTTTTCGTCACAAGAACTAATGAGGATTTTAGCCATGTTATGAGGAAAGCACGGTGTAAGCCAAGGAATCACGCTGCTCCTCGATCCCGTTTTGTTTCACTATGATGTTACTAAATGATTCGTTGTTGGATATTTTGAGTTCACAAGGACTGCTGCAATTTTCTTTTCCCTTTCCTTTTGGAATAAATAAAGTTCGGTGACGACTCTATTGTATCATTGAGCATGCGATGCACTTGGGTATCTTTCGCACCGTGATACCTTGTAGAATTTGAAAAACTATCGTCAGAAGAGTGACTATGAGAGGATTACTATCTTCCTTGTCATTTTGGGTTTTCAGAGTATCTTAATTGTCTAATGGGGTAACGCTTAAATGACTAAACGGTTTAGGGTATAGACCTCTCATAGAGCTTAACTAAATGATACAACTCATCACAGTCCATTCAAGAACAAAATCAAAATCTAATAATGGATTGACATAAACATCAACCACCTTGAAACAATGACAACCATGTGAAGTACCATTCCTATCTTTCAAACGAAAATGAGTTTCATACAAAAACGAACTCACCTCATCGAACCTCCTTCATACCTATACTCAACCGTAACTCCTTACTACACAACCACAATGCCTCCTTCAAACTTTATAACCAGAACCAACCTTCCAAACAACCACAAAAAACAAGTCTGAAGTAAAAGTGAAAAACAAAAAAGAAGAGAAAGGTTGGATCAGAAAGGCCTCTAGATTTTGTTACACGCATACAGATCTACCACAATCGACTCCGAAATTTCCGTTTATGTTCACCTTCTCTTTGCAATATTTCTCCAACACCTCTCTAAATCTCCATGTCACTACAACTCCCTCATCAACTCACTTCCACCATAAACTCATGATCCATTCAACAAACTACAACACCGTCGTTTAACCTCAAATCCAGGCACACTTTTATTTCTCAATCGTTTGCATCACTTCCACAACAACCTTGATACAACACCATTAACCTTTTTCACTGTTCTCTCATTGACTTCAAAAAAGAAGAAGAATGAGCTCTAATCTGTCTCTCACCTCGATTTGACCACGAAAACAACCGCGCAAATTTTTTTCCACCTTTAACCTTCACTCTCTATCTCCATTATAAGCCACCATCCTTCAACAACACAACAACAACCTTGAAGGAACGGGACGGAGAGAGATTCACACAAGAATAAGAGGTCGGTTTGATTTCTTCTTGTTTTGAAATAACACTGTCAAGGAGAAAACAATGATATGAAGGAGAAGATGGAAAGAGAAATAGGATTAGGTATCCAAGGAAGAAAATAGTGAAGGGTATTTTTGTCATGTTACCTTTCATTTAACACATGTGAAAAATAATTAAAATAAAAAAAATGCTGCCACATCATCATTTTTAATGAGTTGACTTGACAAAGGTTTAAAGAGAGATATTTATCAAGTGTTAGGGGAATTCATGCAACTTTTTGGTTTCAAAAAGCGTCTATATGGCAGGGGGAGAATATGTATTAACCCATATGCTATATTATTCTAAGTTTAATTCTTATTTATTACTACCTCTTGGCGGAAATTTATCAAACATCTATTATGCTACAAAAGTCTATTGCCAAGGAGTTGGAAAAATTGTATATGTGCATAATGACCCAATTGAAAGTCCATCAAAACATGCATTAATAGGGCAAGGGAACAAGTCTCTATGTCTCACTTATAATCCTAAAATACGTCTACTTTATAGTCTGAAAATCTTTTATGGTTGTAGCTTCTTATCTCTAAGCAAACTAATTAAGTGAATATCTCTACCTTACTTGTTTCAACCATTTTTATTATAAAATCTACTTGTTGTTGAATCTCTCACAACAACAAGCTTTTACCTATTGCTAAGTTGATCATTCAAAGAAACAAATTTATAACATGAAATCACATAATAAAACAAGACACTAACATCACATCATTTTAACATAAAGGCAACATTATATTAACTTCACATTTCTCAACAAACAAAGGGTTTAGCTCATAATGAGCTTAGTACAAACTACTGAACTAAAACTGATAGGAAACATACTTAAACAAAAGATGCAAAAGAAATGACAAGCTATTAGTAACTTAGAGATCCCTTATGATGGATAATCAACAAGTGAATACTCTAGTCGCGCCAGCTCTCAGTAATGAGTACAAGGATAAATGAGAAGAAGAACTTTTTCTTTTCTAACAACTCCTCACTCTAAAATGTTTCTTAATTACTATTAAGACTACTGAACTCTTTAATGGTGTGTGGTGTTGTTTATGATTTCCAAAGGTTAGCTTTTATGGTGTTTGGAGATTGACTTCCTCCAAAGAAAAAGATTAATTCCTTCTCCATTGAATATTTTGGCAAGACCAAGTGAAAGTTGTTGCAGACGAGGTTGGGACTTTCCAAGACCCTCTAATAGAGAAAAATGCCTTAACAAGGGACTTTAGGTAGGATTGAGTTAAGACTGATGTAGAGG